TGGTCGTTATAATGGTGATTGACCAACACATGATATTTGAAAATGTTAAAAAAAAGGGTAAAAAATAAATCTACTTAAATATACAAAAAGAGTGCCCCACTCTTTTTATGAAATGAAAGTAACGAATACATTCCGATGGATAATTACACACATTTCACAGGGCCTAGTGAGTTATTTATCGTTCATGTGAAGTAAATTATAAAGTTGAAAGGAATTATGAGAAAATGTAAATTTTTTTTGACTTTCACCTGTTCACTCTATATCTACCCATGGATGGGCATAATGTCACTTTAAAAAGATATTCATTTTCTACAAAGTCATGTAAATCTCCGACTCTGCTATTTAAATCGCCAGTGATAATAAAATTACAATTTTCACCATAAACGCTTTGAAAATGTATCATATCTTCCATTACTAAATCAAAGATACAAGAGTTACTTAAAACTTCCCTAGAATCCCTCCTTTCGGTCATTGTAACATAGACAACATCAATACATCTGTATCATGAATTAAAAAACACTTATCTAATCTTATCCACTTAAATATAGTCTTCCGTAGATTTCATAAATTCAACAAAATGTTTAATACTGTTTTTCACATTATATAATAATACCGCCGCTGTCTCTGCGTGCGTTTTTATGTGTAAGTTTACGGTCAAGTTTATAATGCATAAAACCTTCTACATCACATGTTAATTTATCGTTAAACCATGTCTCTGTAAGTAAAATAATGTCTTTACTTTGAAAATAATTCTTAAAAGTTATGTGTGACTCCAGTTTATGTTTATACCGCTTTCCTCTCAATCCTTGATATATTACAAAGAGAAATACGCAGTTCACTTTTCTCCACGTTTTCCTATTCACACGAGTTTCCCTACTTCGGGCCCCTCTGATGTTTCGACTTGATTTGCAGGTGGCGTTTTGTCGGGGTCTATTTTTAGATACAAGCTACTCCCTGCCTTTCTGTTTATAGTTTTTTGATTCGGAGTGCTTTGTGTTCACTATTCGGACTTAATGTTCGCTGTTTTGGAATTATTTGTGTTGGAATTGACTTTGCTGTTGTTTCTATTTATGCTTCTGCTGCGCCGTGGTACTTTGAACAACTGTTTGAGAGATGTTTCCTCGCTTACAGCGTAAGTTATTTTCCATTCCAGCCTCACATGTATTTTTTTTAGCACGTGGCGATAATTGAACTTGACCTTGTATATATGAAATGTCAGCTGTGTTTACCTATTTGTAAAGTGGGGGCGTGGTCCATTTTTATGTGTATTGTTTGTTTCTGTACTGTCGAATACTTCATTGTGTGTATGATCTACAACTCTATTTGACTGGGCTGTGGATATCGTTGGTATTTGTACGTGTGGTTGTATGTGAAGGTACTGGGTTTCGAAAGAATAAACCCTTGACTCCTGTGAGTACTTCAAGCCATTCGGGAACATATCATGTACAAGTTTGTTATTGATGTATAACTTGGCCGGGCTACTTTATTGACAATTTTTTTTCACGCTTGATCTAGCCTCTCTTCTTCTGTAGTACTATACAGTTCTTTTGTAAGCTTCTACAAATTTCGGAGAGGATTAGTCCTCATATCTATATTCTGAATGGGGTCCCCTTTAGTTTTGTAAGCGTTAATTCAAGACAATTTCTGTGTCAATATAATCTTTAGATTTTACAATCAAAGGTCTTTTAGGATCTGACATGTTTCTATATTTTTGATTTCTTGGAGAGCCTAGTCTATGTGCTCTCTCTATAACGTTTGGATTTTCTGTTGGCGGATTTAGATCTAGTTCGTCCCTTAAGAAATTTGAAAATTAATTCTGCCAGATGAAAAGCTGTTGTTTTCAGGACAACCCCAAAATATTAGATTATTTTCGGCGGAATTTCTTGCCTCAATATCCAATGACTTGTTGACAGCATTTTTAAGTTTCTTATTTTGCACAGCTAGACTCGCTTCTACCCATGTAACTCTTTCGTTTTGCCTACAGATGCCTTTTTCATTTAACTCTAGTAAAGTTCAAAATATGTACTGGGGACTGTTTTCGATTCTAAGGACTTTAGCTTTTTCAAAATTTCTGTTCTGCCTTCAAAAAAATGCTGTTAATTTTATCATCAGTCGAAAGTTTTTGCGAATCGTCACAGCTCTACACTACTGTTCTTTTTCTTTCTTTTCCTCTTTGAATTTTCCATGGTTCCGTACCCCACCCATCAAGGTCATTTAGACTCTCAAATCTGTTCTCTGTATTTATCATGTTTTCTTCGTATATGCTGCTCTCTAAACTCATATTTTCAAATATTTATATACCAATGATATAAAGACATTACTTACCATGGTCATTATGAAAAACACCTGTATATAATTTGATAAATCCACAAGCAAATCCATAGGTGTACAACTACACATACTGAGTAACATTCCTGTTAGCTTCATGACTCTAGGTTAGATATTGTATGAGCTACGCACGACACAAATTGAAAATTGGAAATTTTCACTAAGTCAAGGGCAATAACTCTGACAATATAGAAAAAATCCACCAGCAAAATGCCAGGTGCACAACTTCACATGCTGATCAACATCCCTGTAAAGTTTCATGACCCTAGGTAAGATACTTCGAGAGCTACGTGCGACACAAGTTGTATAATGCAAAATTTTACTAAGTAGAGGTCAATAACTCTACAAATACTAAATAAATACACACAAAAATACCCAAGTGCACAACTACACATGCTTATAAACATTCCTGTAAAGTTTAATGACCCTAGGTCAAATACTTTTTGGCCTACGTGCGACACCAATGAAAATTGCAAATTTTTACTAAGTAAAAGGGCAATAACTCCGACAAAACAGAAACAAATCTACAAGCGAATTCCCAGGTTCACAAGATGCATGACTCTAGGTAAAGAGGTAAATAATTTTTGAGCTACATGCGACACAAAATAAGAACGGACGGATGGACGGGCGGATGTTCCTACTGAGTTGACATTATGTTTTTTTTTCTTTTATCTCCTTTGATCTTTAAAACCCCATAAGCAACGTATTTGCACCCCATAAGCAACCTTTTTCCCCACACGTACCGTCTGTACGGAATGAACATTGATATTCACCCATTAACGTCACTTGAGGTCGTACGGACGTATGAACAAGGGTAAATCTAAATGCCCCCTCCTATATTGATGGCACAAAATGAAATGTTGTATACCTAACTTTGGTATATCGATTAAACGTGCGGACTAGTTGAAATGTTGAGTTGGTTTGACTCGTCTTTAAAGTAACATTATGCCCATCCAAGTTTAAATTACTTCTGTGACGTCATTTCTTTGTTCTGACCGTACTGTATTTTTAATACAGTACAGGTAGGTGTCCAATATTAACGTGTAAGTCCAATATTAATTGTGTAACACATTAACATGAAAGAAGCTTCAATGATATATGTTCACCATCATGTCCCAACCTGTCGACAGGAGGAGGTAACTCTTTAAAGCATTTTGACAGAATTATGCCCCTTATTCGACTTAAAATGTACGTTAAAGTTTGCGTACCATCTAAAATAATTTTCAAAGCCATTGGCATATGGCTATGAAACTTTGTACACTTGTTCACCATCACGCCCTAACCTGTAGACAGGAGGAGATAGCTCTATATAGCATTTTGACAGAATTTTGCCCATTTTTTCGACGTAGAATTCACGTTATAATTTGCGTTCCACTTCAGATATTTTTATATTTCATTGACATCTTGCTTTAAAACAAGTTGAAATTTTATACTACTTTGAGAGCATAACAGGACTCTCTACAAGGCCTGTAACTGTAACATGGATTTGAAAAAAAATGGCCCGGTTATGAACTTATAAATTTTACATTATCAATGCTCTTTTACTATCAAGCACGAAGAATAGTCGAGCGTGCTTTTCTACTGACAGCTCTTTTATGCAACACAACTTAACAAGTTACCTTAAAAAAATGAAAGAAAAATACGAAAACACATGTTTTAATTTCAAATGATTGAGAAATAATTGTGTCTGTATTTTTTTTGTTGATTATAGTGAAGTTTAAAATATATCACTACTTGTAGTTTAAGAATTCGTCACTATCTTGAATGTTGAATAAATGTCAAAATCATTAAGTTAACTTTGAACAACTTTGTAGCAGAACTTGATTGAGGAGGATGATTTCAAATGGAATTGCAAAATAATGTGTGTATAATTTGCACATAAATAACGATTTTTCAAGCGCACCACAAATGATAGAACTATTTTTGTCTTCAAGCAGACCTGATAGAAGAAATATAACATATACGAGTTTTTTGCTCTTGATATAACTGTGAAGTCACATACAATTATAGTTTCTTGGGTATGAAATGCCATGGTTTTGTCAAAAAGAAAAATTCATGTTTTTTTGAAATTCTGTGGAATGTCTGTTTTTGCAAAACAAAGTAAAATGCAAACCAAGTTGTGCAAAGTAATCTTACAAAGACAAAATAAGATTTCATTGGATCATTTTTTTATGATTTTCCACGAAAAGGCATGAAAAATAAATGATTTTCAAACAACACTATCTTTAATTTCAAGTATGATTTTTTTATTATTGAAATTTTATGCACTGAACATTTTAAAGTAGTTCCTTTGAGGTCCAAACCTAAAAACCTAAAATTTGAAAATTTTACGTAGATCAACAGGGGCACTTAAAATGGAAATATGTAGAAATATACTAAGTCTGATACAGGAGAATTGATTTAAGAGCAATGTTAAGACCGATTTGAGTCTTATTTTTTTCTTTTTTGTTAGTAAATAAACTTTGCGCAATATAAGCGATAACTATGGAAAAGGGAAGTGTATATTTTTTCATGTTCTGAAATTTTTTAAATAGTATTGGTATTGACCAAATCAAATGGTAAAAACGTCTTGAAAAAAGGTTCTGACCCAGTCATGTCAAAGAATACCTCAGTTATGTCACCTTAATAAGCACTTTCATCTTAATTATAAAACAAATATTTTAATAGAATACCTTTAATTGTCGCTATTTCTTTTCTAAGTTCGATAAGTTCCGTTTCTTGTGTTCTGTTTAATGTGTTGATCTTTGAAGATGTTTTGTTGATTTCTTGTCTAAGCTTTTCAAGTTCTTTTTCCTGGGTATCATTCGCTTCCTTGAGAACACCAATTTCTGAAGATGTTTTGTTGATTTCTTGTCTAAGCTTTTTAAGTTCTGTTTCTTGATTATCATTTGCTTCCTTGAGAACACCAATTTCTGCTTGAGTGGCATTTATCTGTTCAGCGTGCTGGATTTCCAAGTTGGCAAAGTCTGTTCGCAGTTGTCGCAGACGTACCATTAAAGCATTTAGATCATTTTCTCTACAATTATCATTGCTTGCAAGCAACACATTCAAGTTATCAATGATAACGAGTATAGAGAGAAGAAATTTCATTTTTTCAATAAAATTTGATATTAAAATTTCCGCATATAATCAACAACAACAATGTCCGTTTATAAACTATTATTTCGTTGGAGTTTAAATTTGTCCCTGTTAACCAAACAGTCTGAAATGTTTTAACTAAATAAAGATATATTGTGTTTACGATTCAGGTGATTCGTTTTTCCTTGTATCTCTACACTATAATTATCATACATCTTCTAAAGACAGCTCACATCATATTCTATTAAGCTTTATGAGAAGATAATATTACTATTCTGTATACTACCACCTCGTATTAAATGTGAAGAAGCTTTTACAGCTAGCTTCAGGGAAGTTTAGCGGTTCAGTAAAGATGCCTGCCCGTGACTAAAATTATGTTGGGGTTGGGGTGGGTAAAGGTAGGATTCTTTAATTAAAGTAGTTAAAGATGAAATTAATAACTCTTTAAATATAATTGTATAAAGATATGGTTCAGAATTTAAATTGGGTGAAGGTATGATTCTTGTATTAAAGTAGTTAAAGATAAAATTATGGTTCTCGAAATAATGGAGTAAATGTATGTTTCTTGAATTAAAGTAGTTAAAGATAAAGATATGGTTCTTGAAAGAATGTGGTAAAGTATGGTTCTTGAATTAAGGTGGTTAAAGATAAAATTATGGTTCTATAATTATTGGGGTACAGGTATGTTTCCTGAATTAAAATGTTTTTGAGAGAAGGTTTATTAATTAATGGAATGGTGCAGGAATGGTACTTGAACTAGGGTAAGAGATAAAAATAATGCTTCTTTTATTAATGGGGTACAGGTGTGATTCGAGAATTAGAAGTGTTGAAGATAAGAATCTTTAATTAATTGGGTGCGGATATGGTTCATGAATTAATAAATTGAAAGATAAAATAATGGTTCTTTAATTAACGGGGTACTGGAATGGTCCAAAAATTAGAGTGATTAAAGATATGGTTCTTTGATTAATGGGGGTACAGGTAGGGTTCCAGAATCAGAGGAGTTAAAGATATTAATGAAGTACAGGAATAGTTCTTGAACTAGAGAGGTTAAAGATATGGTTCTTTAATAAATTGAGTACATGAATGGTTCATGAATTAAGTGGTTAAATATATGGTTCTTTAATTAATGTTATAAAGGAATGGTTCCTTAACTAGAGGGGTTAAAGATATAGATCTTTAATTAATGGGGTACAGGTAGGGTTCTTGAAATAGAGGAGTTACAGTACAAATTATGTTGAAATCAGGAAGTTTTAAAATGTATTATATAATGACACTGTTATTCATTACTACAATGAATGATAAAAATTGAGGAAAATTTATGATATTAATAGAAAATGTAAATAAATATCTGTGATATTAACTACCTGCTTTTAAATCCTATATTTATTTTTTTAATAATGATATTTAATATTGAAATTTGCATCGCATAACTGCATAATTTACAGTTAAAAAAGCAAAAAAAGGAAAAAAAGAAAGTAAATCTATTTGGTCTAATACAGCTAGTACTAGGGTATTCATTAAGATTTTAGAAGAAGTAATTTTAAGAAATGTATGTAAATTAAAAATTTTAGTTCAGTATTTGAAAACACCAGGAATCATAGAAGTCTAAACAAAAGCAATCGAGCTTGAATAAATATGTTTAAACCAAAGCTTTTTTTCTAGTGTATTTTGTTACAGTTTCTTGAAAATATAGGAGCAGGAGGATGAAATAGGTCCAAAATCGTTCAATCCTACAGCTGCTGGCCTCTCACAGATAGAGTAAGTAACTGATAGGCCTGACAGTGGTCCAGCAAACTCTATACTCAAGTCTAAGTCAAGATCTCATTTTTTTTTATCTTCATAAGATTTTTTTCTATTTTGTATCTTGATGTTTCTATGAATAAGGGAGATAATCCTACTTACATTGATTTCTGCATTTTAATTTTCACCTCTAGAATTCATGAGATGCATTTGATACTGATTTCCTTATATTTATAGCAATGGCCAGACCACCAATCCTGTAACTCGAAATACTTGTACATTAACCTGTAGTTTGAAGTGTTTTAATTCTTTTTAAATCATTTCTTAAAGTTATAATTTGTCATATCGACTTGACGCTGGGCACATGACAAATACTTGAGGGATGGAGCGCATTTGAACTTTTGCTTGGAATCTTAAGTGTTTGTTAAACAGTTTGAGTTTTCATTTGCCTGATCAACAACAAATAAGTCCCGATTTGGCACGAAAGTCATATAATACTGGTTTTTTTACAGTCCAATTTAATCGTCTAGAATTTATACGCTGATCGAACACTGGGATTGCTCGTCGCCTTTTTAATTTTATCGCTTTTGGCTTTCAATCATGAGTGCTTAACTTGTTAATCTAAAGGGGCTCATTCCACTGATTTTGGTCATTTAGGAGGATAAGATCCCATGAATTATCTTAAGTTTATTTTCCAAAAAGTATCTGTATAAATGTTTAGTGAGCCATGTGTAAAAATTATTGTTAATTGTTATTCATTTCATTTCCAAAACTGTATACTGTCAAAGTAATGTCGAATATTTCGTAAATTAAATTCTTATCTTCAATATCATTCCCGATGAGTGAAATAGACAAGTTTTACATCAAACAAAGTGTAGAAAATATAAGTTTTTATTTTAAGAAACGTAAAATGTGATGTATCTTTATCATCAGTTTATACAGTTTTTGTAATAGATAAATAGAAATTTCAAAATAACATTCAATTTGGTAATTTCTATCAGGCTAAATCATCTTGGATCAAAATATCTTTTTTTAAAACATTTTTATATAAGTTTATATAACATTTCTACAACATTAAAATTTTTGGCAGGCAGGCCGCTAGGCCGCACCAGGCCGCGAACTTCACAAAAATTATGAAATAAAAAAGTTACATCAGATACTTCTTATATCTGTATTTAGGAGGCAAGTTCCTGCTAAACATGTCAGGTAAGAGATAGGGTAAGAGATAAAATTATGGTTCTTTAATTAATTGGGTACAGGTGTGATTCTAGTATTAGAAGTGTTAAAGATAATATTTTTTAATTAATTGGGCGCGGATATGGTGTTAAAGATAAGTTATTTTTTTTCATTAATTGGGTGCGGATATGGTCCTTTGATTAATGGGGTACATGTAGGGTTCTAGAATCAGAGGAGTTAAAGATATAATTCTTGAAATGAATGGGGTACAGTAATGGTTCTTGAACTAGAGGTGTTAAAGTTATGGTACAACAATGAATTTGGTACATGAATGGTTCATGAATTATGTAGTTAAAGATATAGTTCTTTAATTTATGAAAACAGGAATTGTTTCTGAATTAGAGAGGTTCAAGATATGGATCTTTAATTAATAGGGTACAGGTAGGGTTCTTGAATTAGAGGGGTTACAGTACAAATGTTGTTGCGATCAGGAAGTTTTAAAATGTTATATAATATGACACTGCTATTCATTTCTACAATGAATGATAAAAATTGAGGAAAATTTAAAATAGAATTTAAAGAAAACATAATTAATATATGTCACAGTGATATTAAGTTCCTGCTTTCAAATCCTGTATTCATATTTTTTAATAATGATACTTGATATTGAAATTTTGCATTGCAGAAATGCGTGATTTATCCTCGGGTGGCCATGATTTGTCACCCTAGGTATTTTACAGTGCTACTTTTCTGTTGTTTTTTTAATGGCCCAGTCGTGCTATGTTGAAGAAATTTGGTAGATGCATTTAATTTACTAAGATGTTAAAAAATATCCATTTTTTCACTTAACAACAATTTATTGAGACTTTCTTACATACACAGGAACGGTGTTGTCATTAGGACAGGGACGAATTCAGGGTACCTGACGAAACAGTTAAAAAATAAAAAGATGAAAGAAAGTAAATCTTTTTGATCTAGCACGGCTAGTACTTGTGTTTTCAATATGATTTCGAAATATACGAACAGTAAAAATTTTACTTCAGTATTCAAACACACGAGATATCATAGAAGTCTTTAAAAAGCAATCGGGCTTAAATAAATATGTTTAAACCAAAGCTTATTTTATGTGTGTTTTTGACTTGCACTGTATAATGTTTTTGCAAAATATCCTTTAGGTTAATATGTTTAATGCCCAAAGAATTTTAGAATTCTGTTAGTTCGTATACTTTGATTTTGTCCCGCCACTAGGAATAATTCATTACAATCTCTGTAAGCAAGAGTTGTGGGAGCAAATCCAATATCTGCCTTTGATATAACGCACTGGTCTTTCTCTAGTCGCTTGTTCAGTTGATGTATCCTCTCGTGTCCAGTATCAAAGATTTAGCCGAGTGTATCAATAAAACGATTCATCGGTCCTTTTATTTCCTTGTATGCGAATATTACATACCTGTCTGGCGTGATATGATACACTGTATGGTTTCCATGGTAATATATAACAAGATTCATATCACCTGTAATTGCAATGTGATCTGGGTTGAAAAATAAACTTTCTCCATGAGCACTATTTTGAATGTCACCTCCAGAATTCATGAGATGCATTTGCTACTGATATCCTTATATTTGTAGCAATGGCCAGACCATCAATCCTGTTACTCGAAATAGTTGTACATTAACCTATAGTTTGAAATGTTTCAAGTCTTTTTAAATCATTTCTTAAAGTTATAATTTGTCATATTCGACTTGATGCTGGGAACATGACAAATACTTGAGGGTTGGAGCGCATTTGAGCTTTTGCTTGAAATCTCAAGTGTTTGTTAAACAGTTTGAGTTTTCCTTTGCCTGATCAACAACAAATAAGATTTGGTAAGAAAGCCATACTAGTTATTACACTCACACTTCAATCGTCTAGAATTTTGTTCGCTGATCGAACACTCTGGGATTGCTCGTCGCCTTTTCAATTTTATCACTTTTGGCTTTCAATCATGAGTGATACACTTGTTCATCTAATGGGGCTCATTCCACTGATTTTGGTCCTTTAGATGGATAAGACCCCATGAATAATCTAAAGTTTATTTTTCAAAATATTATCTGTATAATTCAATTTGTATAATTCCATGTTAAGGGAGCCACGGGTAAAAATGATTAAATGATTGTAAATTGTTACTCATTTCGTTTCCAAAATAGTATAATGTCTAGGTAATGTTTAAAATTTTAAATAAATTAAATTTTTAGGCCGCCATGCCGCTGTTCAGCTATGCCGCCAACTTCACACCTCAAGGCCGCCAGGCCGCCAACTTCACGCCGACAGGCCGCTTGGCCGCTAGGCCGCCAACTTCACGCCGCTAGGCCTTCAACTTCACACATCC